GTCTAAATCCTTTTCTCTATCCTCTACAGAAATCGCAAATTGAAGTGCAGTCTCGAAATTGTCAAAAGTGATGCGTATGGCATTGGCGATTTTGGGAATAAGACCATCCATAAAGGTTGATAAAAGGAATCCATCCAAAAAATCCTGCTTTCCCTTATATTCCCAACATTCTTTAATATAAAATGGGTTAGGGAGAAGTGCAGCAGGCTGATTTTCCCTGCGGATTACTTTAAGCTTACCAGGTGCATCACCCAGCAGGAAATTTCCAGCGCGTCTCACTCTAGCTCCGAAGGTCTGCACCTGCTCCCCAGGAGTCTGGCGCATCCTCTTCAGATCTTTCATAAGATTTGTCAGAACTCTGCTGCCAAACATATCTTGCAACGTTTTTACTATTACACAATAATGGGCTGATGTCAACCCTTGTATGGACATCACATATATTTGAGCTTCACCCCTAAGTTTACTTAATAAATTGGAACGGATACTTTCATCCAAATATACGCTGTCATACAGGGCACTTTGAAAAGTTGCCCACCACTCTTGCCAATTTAAGGGACCACTACCATCGAAGAACGGAATTTGATTCATCGCGATTGAGGCCTGCTGGGTATTGACACTTGGCAATCTGGATTTTTTAAGGTGTTCCACATTGTAGAACACAACTTTGTCCGCACTTGGCTCCATAATCTGATCCATGCTTAATTCATTTGCAACAAGAGCTTGCCTAATCCCCATTCCGTCAGCAAAATTGCGTTTCATAATCTTTAATTCTTCTTTTAGCTGTTTTGAAAACAACAATAGTTGGGAGTCATTGATAGCCGTTTCATGGAGACTAATCTCTGTTAGATTTGGTTCAAGGACTTCTAATATCGTTGTGACGGTCACTAATGGGCCGTCTTCAGCCTTGATGTCATCGAACGTTTTTGAATCGCATTTTTCACTTCTTGGTTAGGGGCAGGCGTTGCGTTAAGCTGACCAGTTAATCTTTCAAGCTCTTGCTCTAATTCCTTCTTCCTCTCAGCCGCTACTTCGGCTTGTTCCTTGGGGCTCAAGTCAAGAAGTTTTCTATCCACAATAGCATTTACGTCTAGAACTCGGGAAATATCTAGGGTTGAAACGTTTGTGGAGGTACCAGATGCCATAGCGTCAGAAATCACTGGATACGTTCACTTTGTGTTCACTTTTCACTGGACACCGTATTCAAAGGCACTTTTCGCAAGTACCTGCAGTATCTGGAGCACTTTAGTTTCTACTAATTCTTCAAAACTCTATTAGTACTCACCTCGGGTTAAAAGAAAACCTTGGCTGCGCCAAATTATGTTGTCCTAATTCCGTAAGAAGTTTATCTTAAGAAACTCTTGATCTGGAGAAAACGTCTTTTCTACAGAGTCTATTAATCTAGAGAATGTAAATTCTCTAAGACAAACTTTTAATGAGAAGATTTTGTTCTTATGGCCGGGGTTTGTAAGTAAAACACGACTTCTGGGTTTAGAGTGGATACGTATATTTCTGGTTTACCTCAGTCAACGCCAGACTCACGAATGAATATTAGTTCAATGCGCGCAAATACCCTTTACAGATTCAACACGTTCCAGATGCGACTGCGCAAGCAGGATGCAACCAAACCAAAAGTAGGGCAGGTAAATGACCGCTGTCTAGACAACTGACCTCGTGCGCTTTGGAGCAACGAGTTGCTATGCAACACCGTTCCATGATCTGCATTTTAATGCGCACGGTATTATTGCTCTAGTACAGGACACAAAGTCTTGTATCACAAGTTAATCAACCTTGATGATATTTTAGGATGAAATGTGCTTTTTGAGTCTTGGACTACAGAAAATATGGATAATAGAGGCTGTGAATCAAATGACATATTAAGTTGGAGACAAAGAAAAAAAAGTGAAATTATTTTTACTTGTCCTTTTGGTGGAAATCTTGTAGAATTGAAATCATGTTGACTTTTTAAATGTGTTTTTATTCTCTTTCTCATGTTGTGACAAATTGTGGCTAGAATTGCACAAAAGAGTCTACATAAGCGTGCAGAACTCTGCTTCGACATAGTTCTAAAGTAAAATAAATAATTTATGAAATTACTTTCTGGCCAGACCCAGCGCAAGCAGGTCAGCCCAAGAGAATGTACACACACACACACACACATGCAGGTCCAATTTTAAGAACTGACCCAGAAATGGGCTGGAAATTCCAGAAAATGCGCGGTTTGGCATCTTTATTTTGCGCAGCAAAAACCCTAGGATGGTGCGCACAGCGTTTTCTTTTCATTAGAACGAAAACAAGATTTGCGGTATCAACTTAGAAAGAGGGTTCAAAATATCAAACTCAAAAAAACGGGAATTTGTTATGTTCCTTGGATTTTTTTTTGTGTGTTTGAAAAATATTTCTGGTTGTATTTGTTCTCTTGTTCATGTTTGACGGGTATAAAATACAAGGCCACTTATTGTCTATTCATGTCTTATATTTCCCTTACTTTCGTCACGTTTTTCTTTTTTATTACCTTTTCTTTTAGTGACAAATATTGGCGCCCTCTGGTAAAAACCACAACAAACCTTAATCTAAAACAAAGATTCATAATTCTTTATTCCTATTTCCTCTCAAAACCTATTGCCAAAATAGTCTTTTCTGAATTCTAAAATAAATAATTCTGTGCCTCCTGATCAAAAAATGCACAACAAAACAGCTTTCCAAACCCCTGGCAATAAACATGTCTACAGCCCAAAACAAGGACGTCCAGGATGGCTATCAAAAGAAAATGGTAATGTAGAAACCCAAAAAACCATTCCCCACCTCCCAAAACTTATCCAAAGAGAAAATAATGTATCAATACTGCAAGAGAAAATACCTATTGTGACTGAATAACAAAATCAAACACCCCAAGACCAACCCTTACCTGAATTAATCCTTCCACAATTAAATCAAGACCAACGCACAAATAAACATGAAAATGATAACCAAAAATAAATTATCATAGACAAAAAATTATCAATACCTTGATGAAAAACAGCAAAAATAATTAGAGTAATAAAAAACAATAATAAAAGAAACAAATGAAGAAATAGAAGAAACAAAACTCCAAGGAATTCTGGAAAACTCAATGTACATAACTACTGGATTCTCTTGATTACATATACGAAACCTTGAAACATGAAAAGCTAAAAAAAATAGTAACATTAAAAGAACAAATGAATGAAATAATTATCAGAATCCCACAAGTCCTTTAATGTTTATCTATGCCCAACAGACAATGGTTTTCTCTTTTCCTGTATGCTTCAAAGAGCACCTTGAAAAAATTGTCGTTGTCACTTAAATCATGGTCCCCGATTGAACTTTATGACTACATATATTAGTATTCGTAGTCCGGTAAACGATTTACACCCAAAATTTTTTTGAAGACGGGAGTCTGGACAGTAACTTTCTCGCACAAAAGTAGGACAATTAATCTCAGCTATATGAATCATCTCACCAACCCTGGTCCCATGATCCAGGAAACACATGTCTATACATTCATGGCAGCCATCTTTTGATGTGAACCGTACATGCAGGGACCTGCGGGTGCATCGATTAGATTGTTGCTTAGCCATTGCCATGGTGAAGTTCANTATGAATCATCTCACCAACCCTGGTCCCATGATCCAGGAAACACATGTCTATACATTCATGGCAGCCATCTTTTGATGTGAACCGTACATGCAGGGACCTGCGGGTGCATCGATTAGATTGTTGCTTAGCCATTGCCATGGTGAAGTTCACGCTGGTGATTGCCTTCAAGGTCCTGCTGTGGGTTCCAAGCAGGCAGCCCCTGCCAAAGGCCATCTTCAGGCCAGCAATAAGCAGGGGTCAAGTCAGTGGCAAACGTGCGCTTCCTATGGATGGATGCACAGACCTGGCATCACACCTTATATACATTGGCATAATACCAATACCCTGTACTGTAGTGTACCCAAACCAGTGGTCTGCAGAAGTTTTTCGCTGGTCTGCAGGGACATTTTCAGCATGATTAATTTATCTGAAGTAGGGATGAAGTCTGTTCTCTTTAGCCAAAATTTTGGAAGGACAATAGCAGTGATTGAAACAATCACAATCAATTGAAAGAAAAGTTGGCTTTTCTCCTAATATAACAATTCAGACTAATTTTCATCTGAGTAAATACATTATTTTAATTTGTTCTTCTGAGGAATCTTTCTCCAAGCCCAACTTTCCCATTGTTTGATGGCAATCTCAACTGCATATATGTGTGACAAATTTTGTGTGACATTTCAGACAAATTTTAATCTGAGGAAATACATTGTTTTAATTTTTTATTGTGAGGAATCTTTCTCCAAGCCCACCTTTCCCATTGTTTAATGGCAATCTCAGCTACATTTTTGTGTTCATACCTGCCTAATAATATTGAAGCCAAACTTTGGTGAGTCAGTTAAAACTTATGAAACTTCACTGGTCTGCAGAAAATGTCCCTCTATCCTGGATGTAATTTTTAATTAACTAAATGTATGGTAAATTGAAGAGAGAAATGCCAAACAAGTTTTCTTATATATATTTTGAGCTCAAGGAATTTGCCAGTCCACAAATATATATATATTTTATTTGCCTGTCTGCTGGCCCAAAAAGTATGGGGAACACTGCATACTACTGTACAGTATATTGATTTGAATAATTGAGGTCTAATCTCTCTATAACAATCTTGTCTACAAAGATTTTTTTAACTGTGTAACATAAATTATTTTGTGGTCTCACTGGGATAAACTTCCCATGTTACAGAGGTTCTCCGCCAAGGAATTCCAACTGCAGGGAATGATCAAATTATTTCGGTAAATGTTTGAATGAATATGCGTCGCAAGTCTCGCGGATTTGGTGAATATGGTTAAAAAGGCACCAGCACCACTGATCAGTGCTGGCAGGGCCACTGTGGCACCACCACCCCGAGTTCTGCCAGTTCTGCAGGATGACAGCCTCACTGACCTCGATGACCTGGATATTTGGTGAATATGGTTAAAAAGGCACCAGCACCACTGATCAGTGCTGGCAGGGCCACTGTGGCACCACCACCCCGAGTTCTGCCAGTTCTGCAGGATGACAGCCTCACTGACCTCGATGACCTGGAATCTTCTACCAACAAGACCAACAAACAGTCCAGGCTCACTGTGAGTAGAATAACTTCGAATTTGCACACAAAAAAAGTCAAACCATACAGCCCCTGTAATATTGTGCAAATACAGTGAGACCCCAAGATTTGGACATAATTGGTGCATCAAGAGTGTCACAAAGTCAAAATGTCCCTAAGCCAAGTCTCATTTTCCCTTAGACCTACATTACATAATTTTTAAGTGGTGTAAATAAATGTTTTATGAGTGGAATTAAGGGACTTTTATTCGTAACAGAGGGTTACATTTGACTAAGACAGTTATATAAAGTTCTGTTATACCTATAAACCACTTAACTTATGACTACGGAGACATGTGTACATGTAAATGTTGACGTTCTCTAAAAAATAACATTCAAGTGAAAAAGAGAGAAGGAAGTCCTTCTATGCTGGGGGTACTTTTTTAAATTAACTAAATGTATGGTAAATTGAAGAGAGAAATGCCAAAGAAGTTTTCTTACATGTATTTTTTTACGTTCATAAATATATGTGTCTTTTAATTTGGCAAGAATCTATAATTTGCGATTTTATCACAAAATGTCCATATGTTGAGTCAGTGTCCTCATGTTGTGCCTTTTTTATTAAATTTTTATGGGAAAATATATCCCTATTTCAAATTGTCTGCAGTTTACATGTGGGGGTCTCACCATATTCAACTGGCAATTTTACTAGATAATTGTCATTTAGGAAATTAGAAAAAATAACTGAGAAAGAGAGGCATTTTATTGTCACCTTCTGAGTCCAAATCAATTTAGTCCATGAAACAATTGCTACATCCATTAAATTGCTGACCGTTTAGCTCAATAAGTTGACGTACAGTATAATTAATGACTTTGATGGTCGAGTTGGATTCAAAATTCATCATTTTTTAAATATACAGTCAGTAATAACCGTCAACGGTAATTGCAGCTATTATGCCCAACAGAAAATGATCACAAAGTCAGTTCACGGTGAGCTCGAGGAGTCATCAGAATTCTAAATATTTGTTTCATGTTGCTAACAATTCGTCAGGACAGATGAAAATTGATATTTAAATTTTGTTCTAATTATTAACTGAAATTTAGAAAATTTACTGGTTAATACAACGAACTACTTTCAATTTTTATACTTGAAACTACTTGAAAATTTTAGCAGGGGGGGGGGGTCTGGAAATTTTTAAATTTTATTTATGATCATGCAGTAAATTTGAAATTTTGCTTAAAATTTCTGGAAAAAAATCCCAGAACCGTACGACATCATTGGCTGCGAGATTTTTTTTTTTTCACAGTTATTCCTTCTCAAGAAATAAGCAAGGTCGTGCTTAAGTGGGACAACCCTTGTAAAAGACTGCGGTTATTGTGCTTTTTGTTAGAGTTTTCAGTTTATTTTTCTAATGTAATTTCTGTTGTCGCTGCGAATAATCCAAAACGTTGCATGACACTTTTCAAGACCAGCTTTAATCCCTCAAAAAACTTTTGTACTTCAACATATTTTCTTCGTTATTTTGCTGTACATTTGTAATTTTTTTTCGGAAGGTCGCATTGCGGATTCGTCCGCTCTCCAAGCAAGAGAAGGACAAGGGACTGACAAAAATTGCCCAAGCTGTGGACAGCCAGGTTCGTAATTTTTGAAATTTTATAACCGAAAATAACCTATTTTACTTTTTTTTCGGCATCAAACATTCTGTAATGCGCGGAAGTGCGAGGTTCGAAAAATGTTTTTGGGAGGATCAAAATATTATACTGTTACAAATTATCCCAGATACTACTTTGTGATATGATCGAATTTGTCTATCTTATCGTAATTGCATCCGAGTAGAATTTTTTGTCAGTCATTATTCCGTTTAGTTTTCAGTGTGTGTTTTTTTAATTTCATGCAAATTTTGTGTGATTTAATTAACTGACCGTCAAAAAGGATGCTAGAAATCTATACGTTCAATTTTGTACGCAAAAACCCACAAAACTCAAGAATTGATTTAAAAGGCTGTTATTTTCAAATAAATCCCTGTAAGTTGTTCTTGTTATATACAGTTGAGCCTCTCTGAGTTGAATTTCAAGGGACCACAAAACAAAAACTTGACTTAGGGATGTTCAGACTCAAGGCGGTTTTCAATAATTGAGGTTTGAGTAACAAAATGAAGCATTCTTGTCACAGTAAACATTAAAGAATGGCATACAATTTTAAATGATGATATTCAGGGCATTGAATGCATTTGAGAAGAGTTGACAGGATGCTGAACTTGGAGGCAGGGACTAAATTTTTCCCAATTTAGGCTTTCTTTTCTTTTCAAAACACATGCAATTAGGTTTTTCATTGCATCTTTCTTTTCTTTGTCAAAAAAAGCCAAAATACCTCCAAAAATTTAAGCCAGGGAGGTTTGAGAGGAAACAGCTTCCAGTTAAGGAGGTTTTTGATACATTGTTCCTAGGGGAAATCAATGGGGACTTGGAAACAATTTTATCAAGGAGGTTTCAACTTCAGGAGGTTTTGAATAATTGAGGTTTAGGTAACAGAAGTACAGAACCAAGCATTTTTGTCACAGAAAACATAGAAAGAAATGCACAAAATTGTAAATGATAATATTTTGGGCATTAAATGCATTTAAAATGAGTTTACAGGATGCTGAACTAGGGACTAAATGTTGCCCAATTCAGTCTTTCCTTTTATTTCAAAAAACAAGAAATGATGTTCTTCATTGCTTCTTTCTTCCCTTTGTCCACCAAAAAAAAAGCCAAAAGGCCTCCAAAAATTCCAATTGGGGAGAGGTTTGAGAGGAAAAAGCTTCCAGTTAAGGAGTCTTTCAATGCATTCTTCCTAGGGGAATTCCATGGGGACTTGGAAAAAATTTGACTTAAGGAGGTTTCAACTTGAGGAGGTTTTGAATAATTGAGGTTTAAGTAACAGAACCAAGCATTATTGTCATAGAAAACATAGAAGAATTGCACAAAATTTTAAATCATGATATTCTGGGCATTAAATGCATTTGAAATGAGTTGACAGGATGCTGAACGTGGAGGCAGGGACTAAATTTTGCCCAATTTAGTCTTTCCTTTCCTTTCAAAACACATGAGATTATGTTCTGGATTGCTTATTTCTTCCCTTTGTCATAAAGAAAAACCAAAAGACTTCCAAAAATTTGAGTTATGGAGGTTTTTGAGAGGAAACAGCTTCCAGTTAAGGATTCTTTCAATAAATTGTTCCTATGGTAATTCAATGGGGACTTGGAACAAATTTGACAAAGGGATGTTGGAGTTATTCAACTGTAAATGCAAGAAACCCATACTAACCTTTTCCCTTTTTGCTGTTGGAGCGTCTCTTGTATTTATGCGTTTCCATGGCCACTGGTGGACAAAAATAGCGAAATCCACGTCTCCATTGAACTGTTGTTGTAAAGGTCAAGGAAATGTCGAGCAATTCTTTCTGAATCCGTATGCAAATATTGTTTTTTTGCAAAAAAATTGCTGTCTTCCAATTGAGAATCCCAAGGGTTTGTTCAGATTACAGATTACATTCTTCAGAAAATGCAGGTCAATCAATAATGTATTCAGCTGATCAGATGGTTGATTATTATTATATATGTGTATATATATATTTTTTTTTTCTACTGTGGTATGATGGTTGTCAAGAGAACAGCTACTGCTGGATTGTTAAGGCTGTTAGCATAGTAACCAGTCCAAGGATTGATCTGCATATTGTGCAAATTTTTTTGTGGTGTCTGGAACAACTACGTAAAAATCCTGATCCAAAGTCAGCAAGCAATTTTGGGGATTTTTTGGCACAGAATTTGCATGATCACAACAATGTAGCAAAAATTTCAAGTAAAGGTAGTATTTTCTTTCAGTATGACTGGTTCTTTTTTTTCTGGTCATGTGTCCATTGTAAATTAGTTTGTAAAAAGAACTGTGGGGTGCAGAAATTATGAATCTGTAGAGAGTCGATAAATTTGGGAACTTCGAGCACAGCATTTTGAAAAAAAAAAATGCAAATAATCAAGCGTTTCCAGTTTCCTTGCTTTGTTTCAGGTCCCATTTGTTTTCAAGAATGATATTCTGGCTTTGTGGTGAATTCTACTTGCATAGTGAGATGATATATAGTGAGACCCCCAGATGCAGATGTCATTGGTGCATCAAGAGTGTCCTCAAGTCGAAATGTCCCTAAGTTGAGTCTTGTTTTCCCATAGACTCACATTATATAATTTTTGATTGCTGTTTTATGGAAGAAATATTCTTCAGAATTCTCTGAAAAAAATTGTTTGCCACTTGAATTTGAACTAGTGAATACATTTTCAACTCAATAAGAACATTTGAAGCATTAAATAGTGTATCTCTGTACTGTACACTGAAATTTTGGCATCTAAAAAAATAACATTCAAGTGAAGAAAGTAGAAGTCCCTCTATGCTGGAGGTAATTTCTCTTAATTAGCTAAATGGATGGTAATTTGGTCAGATAAATGCCCAAGAAATTTTCTTACATCAATTTTAGGTAACATCAATTTTAGGGTTGGAAATATCTGTTTCTTGTAATTTGGCCTGAAATGTATTTGTAATTTTATCACAAAATGCCCCTATGTTGAGTCAGTATTCTCATGTTGGGCCTTATTTATTGATTTTTCCGGGAAAAATAAGTGTCCCTATGTCGAATTGTCCATAGGTTGAGGCGTCTGTATGTGGGTGTCTCACTGTACAGTATTATCAATTTTGTCTTGAAAAATACCAGTATATTGTTGCCTTAAGTCATTGAAGTTGTTCAGAATGTTTCTATATTGCATCAAATGTCTTTTAAGCAAATGACTCAAACTGCTTCAATATTACCTGTTTAGATAATCTAGATTAAGAAGAAATTAATTTTAAAGCCTGGGTGACATGAAATGAAAATACTTCTCTTCCACATGCAATAAAGTATGTTTTGTGAACAGAACCTCTTGCATCAAGCACCAGACAGACAATGAATACCAGAAATATGTTTGGATACATATTTTATAGATTCATGCAACAACAGGTGAATGACTGGACATGAACCAAAAGTAAACCAGAACCAGTTAAAAGCAGATGAATGCTGAATACCATATTAAAGCAGTCACATCTGCATACAAAGTAAAAGTATGTCAGGAGAAAATGCCACAACAATCCGGTATTCTAAACATATTGCAGGACACTCAATTAAACCTTGGATGACAAACTATATATGTTTCAATAATATACAATCAGGCAACAAGTAAGATAGATGGATTTCTTTTAGGGAGAGACTTCCAAAATACACAAGACCAAGTTTCTCTGAGAATGCACACCACAATAATCCATAAGATTCTGATTTTTCTTTGAGTATGTCTGGGATTTGTATAAAATATGGATGAGTATTTCTTAGGTGGACTTAATAATAGGTGGATTCATTTCTAGATGTGGAAATGATTCCTACGATATAATTTTGATGGCAGTCACATCCCTGAGAGAATATATGGGCAAAACAGGATTTTGGAAATTAATCTGACAATTTTCAAAAAGATACCTGGGAAAAATTTCTCCTGTAATTTGAGAGGAGATTTGGTCTAATAAATGGCTCAGCCATTTAATTTTTTCACCAATTCTTTCAAGCATTCCATTTTACTGTTAATAGTGAAATATTTCCAGAGAGGAAATATTATTTTAGAATATTGGATGACAGTTAAAACAAACCAAAAACGGGCTTGTCCTCTGTCTTCAAAAATTGCACACTGTTTTTGGTTTTTTGGGTTCAGATGGTGGTTCTACATGAACCCGAACCAGATCGGAATGACCCACTGCGACAAAAACGACAACAGGAAAAACAATTCATGTTCGACATGGCTTTTGACGAGTTCATTGACCAGGTGTGTGTTGACATTTTCTCTTCATTTTTATATCAGAATTTTTTTAAATCATTCTAATCTCAGGCAAAAATTATCCCGGACTTGAAATTCCCGATATGATGTCTGGAGAAAATATTTTTGCCGCATATTATTAACTGAAGAAATTTGCAGCGGCACAAATAAAAAATTTGAATAGCAATTGGATTCCCGAATTTTTTATTTATTTTTTTTCAGGACGAAGTCTATAACAAGACGACAAAAGACATCCTCGACTTCGTCTTGGGTGGTTATCACGCCACAATTTTTGCATATGGGCCCACGGGTGCAGGGAAAACCCACACGATGGTGGGTTACAATTCGAACCCCGGAATCATGGTTCGGGCTTTGAATGATCTTTTTCAACGAATGCACGAGGCCGCCGAAGAGGACCAATTCGATGTGAGTTTCGGGAGTGAGATTTGGCATGAAATTTGATTACACCATGACCATTAACAAAATTGATTAGAAGAGACGCTAATCTTTCATCTTAGTGCATAAAAACTACAGTTGAATCTCTCCAAGTCGAATTTCTAGGGACCAGAAAAAATTTGACTTTGGGAGGTTTAGACCTTTTGAGATTTGGGGTGAAGGAAATGAATATTTTTGCTGCAAGGAAAATGGGAAATTGTAGATGAGGATATTCTGGGCCTAAACTTGCTTCTTAATGAGTTTACAGCTTGCTGAACTTGTAAGGCAGGGGTTTGTTTGCTCAATTAGTCCTTCACTTTATTTCAAAAGGCATAGAATGATTTGTTTTGTTGATTTTCTCTTTCATATTTCAAGAAAATCATAACCAAAAGGCATCAGAAAACTCAACTTGCAGAGATTTTAGAAAAAACTATTTTGAGTTTGTGAGGTTTTTAATAAATTGTTTCTATGGGAATCCAGACAGGGACTTGAAAAAAATTTGAGTCAGGAAGGTATTTGACTTAGATAGGTTTGACTTAGCAAGTTTCACCTGTATAATGAATGAAAATTGGAATGAATGAACAGAAAGCTTTATTTTCTGCTTTTCAGCATTCACAAAGTTCAATCAACATTTGCACATCCAAACCCCCTCCCCACACCACCCAAATCCATGTAAATGCATTCAATCACTTAATGGAAAACAGAGAAAAAAGCTGTATAAGGATACCAAATTAAAAGAAAATACATTCCAGGTTGTACAACTGCACAACTGAAGTGTATGCATAATCCCCCTTCTTTCCCTGACATTAAAGACAAAATATCAGTAACAAGAATTGCAGCATAAGCCAAAATTATTGTAATTGCAGCAGTTGCTGAGCCCAGTTTAACCGTTGTGTGGCCAAATTTGGATATTTTTGCAAAATTTTGTGCCACTGTGCATTTGGAATGAAAAAAACCTCCTTTTGTACAAATGCCTGAGTTGGGAAAAAGTTCAAGGTTTTTTATAATCCTGCAGAAAATGTTCAATGAAAATAATAATAATAAAGCCCTCAGCACTGGGCAACAAATGGATTCCTGGCAAAGGATGTGCATGGGAAAATCTTGAAAACAAAAGAAAATTCACCTCTGAGATTTTTTCCAACTTTGGCCTCCTCAACCTGGGCACATTTCAGTAACCTTGGGTCAAACTGAAATGTGCTGCCCCCCCCCCCCCCAGAAAAATACCAACTCCACTGTGCACTGAGAAAGAACCCTTCACTGTCCAAGAGTTAAAGCACAAGGTCTTCAGCCTGTTCCCAGATAAGGTTTAGTTGAATGAATAATTTGGAGAGAATCTTTGATGAGAAATCATGTAAGACCAACAGTTTATCTTGATCCTCTATGATTTCAGAAAGAGTTCTCTTCATTGAATTCCAATACTTGTAAGTTTTTCTTCAGCTCATGGGTGAAAATTTGTCTCAGAATTAGAGACACCATTTCCTGTAATTTTTTTTTTTGGAATCCTTGAGAATAAGTCAGCTGATTCATAGCTGAGATTCCTGCTGAAAGTCCTTGCAAATTTCCAGTATTCCAAATCAGGATTTTTTTCAACCTGTGAACTTGAAATCGTACAAGAATACGTGCTTTCAAATGTTCGACTCAATTCGTCTTCCGAAGATCCCGTAGGTTTAAAATGAGTCATAAACTAGTTGTGCGAAATTAACCCACCCTGATAATGAAATAATAACGTTAAAAAATCTCGCTTATTCCAAGAAAATGCTGGTGTTTGCATTTCTGAGAACTAGGACGATATTTCACGAGACGAACGAATTGTTTTCGATAGCAATTACCAAGATTTTAAAAATCAACACATGTTTCGGACAAAGGTACATGGTTTTTAAATTGCTGGTACAATTCAGGTTACAATGTCTTACCTGGAAGTATACAACGAAAATATCAGAGATTTGCTGCGACCTGGAACAGGGCATTTGGATTTGCGAGAAGACGCAAGAACCAACGAAATCAAAGTCGCGGGGCTTCTGGAAGTTAAAATAACCAACACCGACATGGTGAGTATTATACATTTTTGGTGACAACTTTTTGAGAAAAATTCATCGGCAAAGAAGGAGTCACCATTTGTAAAAAAAAAAATATCTCAAGTGAGACCCCCACATGTGGACAATTTTGACATAGGGGGATTTATTTTTCAATAGAAAAAGGCATGAAAAAGGCCCAATGCACCGACACAGACTCAACATGAGGACATTGCATGATGCAATTGCCAATAAATTTCAGGAAAATTGACTTTTGTTAGGCTTAATTGCAAGAAACAGATATTTTCAACCCTAAGATCTATGTAAGAAGAATTCTTTGGTATTTCTCCCATTATTTTCCCATCCTAGGTCGAAATGTCCCTAAGTTGAGTCTCATTTTTCCTTAGACTTACATTGTATAATTTTGAATTGCTGTTTTATGGACAAAATACTTATCAGAATTCCATGAAAAAATCTGTTCCCCAATTGAAATTGATTTAATCAATATCTTTCAACACAATATGGACATTTTGAGCATTGAATACTGTAGTACAATGCTAGCATTCTCTGTAAAAATAACATTCAAGTGAAAAAGAGAGAAGGAAGTCCCTCCATGCTTGACAATTTTTTTAAATTAGCTAAATGGATGGTAAATTGTTGAGGAAAATGCCAAAGAACTTTTCTCACATCAATTTTAGGGTTGGAAATATGTGTGTCTTTTAATTTGGCTTGAATCTAATTTGCAATTTTATCACGCAATGTCCATATGTTGAGTCAGTGTTGGAATGTTTGGCCTTTTTTTTATCAATTTTGTATGGGAAACTGAGTGTCCGTATGCCAAATTGTCCACATGTGGGGGTCTCTCTGTATATTTTGCATTATATGGCCATCATTTTCTTTTGCCTAGTCTATTCCCTGTTCTTTAATGAACATCTACCTTATGAATATGATTATTGTTAACAGTAATTAGTTTGTGCCTTAATGGAAAAAATCTCAAGACAATCTGGCACAGATTTCACAGGACTTTGCATTACAGTAGTACTGTATAGAGCTCCATCAGGATACAGGCATTTGCATATGCTGAGTTCAAAAATTACTTCTTTGCAATGGGATTGTCTCCTTCATTTCAGTCTCATTGCTAATTTTTTTTTCGGTTTGGTGAATGTGGGATCTTTCATGGAAGCGTGAACAATGAGCTAATCATTTCAATCTAGCTTTGCAAATGTCTTGGTTGATAAGTTTTCCAGATAATGCAGTGAGACCCTTCCACGTGGACACCTTGACATGTGGACAATTTGACATAGGGACACTTATTTTCTCATGAAAAATTAATAAAAAAAAGGCCCAACATGAGGACATTGACTCAACATTCGGACATTTTGTGATAAAACTGCAAATGCATTTCAGGCCAAATTACAAGACACAGATATTTCCAACCCTAAAATTGATTTATGAACATTTCTTGGGCATTTGCCTCACCAATTTCCCATCCATTTAGCTAATTTAAACAATTACCTCCAGTATAGAGGGACTTCCTTTTCTCTTTTTCACTTGAATATTATTTTTACAGAGAATGCCAACATTTCTATGTACTGTACAATGGTATTAGTATTGAATTCCCAAAGTGTCCATATTGTGTTCAAATATATTGATTGAATCAGTTTCAATCCAGAGACAATTTTTATTTTCATGGAATTATGGTGAGTATTTTGTCCATAAAACACCGCTTAAAAATTAAATAATTTAAGTCTAAGGGAAAATGGGACTTGACTTGGGGACATTTCAATTTAGGGACACTCTTGATGAACCTATTACAATGGCATCTCCTGCAGGTCTCACTGTATATTGACCCCCAAAGTACTGCTGGAAGGGGTTATATGTTCATTAACCAAAGCACCACAACCTTTTAGCTGAAAAAAAAACGTTGCTGTGGCTGTTTTAAAAGAGTGAGAAGACTGTTCGTATTTCTTTCTTATTGGTCATATCGATTCGAATCAGGTGATGAATATGTTGCAAAAGGGCAACAAGAACCGCACTGTGGAAGCCACTGCTGCGAATGCGACCTCGTCTCGGTCCCACGCCCTGTTGCAGGTCAACGTCCATCGCAGGTCAAAATTGAAAGATGTCAAGGGGAAAGTGAAAGCAGGTCGGCTTTTCATGATCGACTTGGCCGGATCCGAACGAGCCTCGCAAACCAAGGTGAATAATGCATTATTTTAGTTGGAAATTACATCCCGGAATAATGCATGGTTTCCTTGATTTTTTTTTCTCCAAATATTCCCACAACAGCGGTTTCTACCCTTTTGTTTATCAAAGAACACACCTGAAATTGAAGAGCACACCTGATTTCAGTGAATTACAGTCGAATGTACGGTATTCAAGTCACAAGCTCAGAGGGAAACCACACAAGAATAGACATTGGGACATATTCTTCAAGTTAGAGGAAAAATAATTTTGTGTGTGTGAATAAGTGAAGTGTTACAAAGAGGTTAAATTGGGGTTTTTCCATGTCTCCCAAGAAAATCAATTCTGCATCCAAAAATGAGTCAAGTACATGTCCTTTTTGAGGTTTTATGGATGAGTCAAAAATGGTGACTATTATTACCCTGAAAAGTGACCCCAAAACAGACCCATTCCCAGAGGACAAAGGATTTTGAAGAACATGCTGGGCTTGTGTCTATTTGGGATTTGAGTTTGAATTGAGATATTTGTATCTGTGGAAGGCATGTACATGTTCACTGCTGTGCTCATATAGAAGTGATGCCTGCTGGACAGGGTGAGTGGTATAATTGTTGTACCAAAAGTTGCATTCACTTTGAATTCTGCCAAACATTTACAGAAAAGGCATAACTGATCATTGGGTTTTGTGGCCCTTTAATTTTTATTTTTGGCACTTCTTTTAATATTTTTTGGCAGAATTGAAAGTTATAATGAAACTTTTTGGTGTTACAGTACAATAACACATTTCAACAGCATTTTCATGTGGGAAACAAACTTGATGCAACCTTTTGTGATGCAGGCATGCAGTTCCTTCACATTTCATTTGGACACAATGTTGACCTGTCCCATTCTGTGTCCTCATGTACATGTCCCTTCTGCAGGATTGAGGAACAACACCTGAATACCTTCTTTTGTTTTTTTATGCATGCCAATGTATTGAAAAGCATGTGCATCCCAATTCTTGTCATCTTCCTGGTACATGACCAATTTGAATGCACCTGGTTTGTGTCAACTACATGAACCTTTAGAACTTGTTCAAAAAGAACATCATACTAACATGAAATCAGATATGAATGAATGAATGAACAGAACACTTTATTTGCCGCTTTTCAGCGTTCACANCTCACCCTGTCCAGCAGGCATCACTTCTATATGAGCACAGCAGTGAACATGTACATGCCTTCCACAGATACAAATATCTCAATTCAAACTCAAATCCCAAATAGACACAAGCCCAGCAGGAAACAAAGCACAAATTGATGACAAAAATAAAAAAATAACACACTCCACAAAATAAAGCTGTGGACATCTGACATGTTTGCATACAGCCACCCATTTCCTGACATTGAAAATAAATGAGCAGTATAAGTTTATCTAAAGCACAAGGTCTTCAGCTTGCTTCTGTATGAGATTTAGTTGAATGAACAATTTAGAGAGAATCTTTGATGAGAAATCATATAAAACCAACAGTTTATCTTGATCCTTTAAGATTTCAGAACGTGTCTCTTTATTGAATTTCAGTACTTTTAAATCTTTCTCAAGCTAATTTCTATCCATATGAAATGCTGGACATAAGAAGAGAAGGTGCTCTGGTGATGCACAAACTAATGTATTTATGCTACAGGAGTTACACAACTTAGACACCTTTGAGAGTTGAATGAAGTTGAATCAGATATGTACTTTGCATGCAATTTTTGGACACCAACACTATATTCACCAGTGGGTTTCCTGTGCTTGAACTGTTGGATAAATGTGTTGACAGGATGCTGAATTAATGTGTCTCCAGAGTGAATCCTTTATACGTTCTCCAGAAATTCAAAGGTTTCAAGAGACAGTCTTTTAGTTACTGAGGTCCCTATTAAACTTTTATAGTAAGGAAATGCAGACATGGACAGAGCAAAAAATTGACAGGGGGAGGTTTTTGACTTGACAAGGTTTGAACTTGCCAGAATAGGTCCAATTGTACTTGAAAAAGTTTCAAGACTTTTGTGAAGTGTGGTTTACTAGTTTTTGTGTGAAAATAAATGAAAAAAATGAAGTACTACTGTAATTGGCAATTTCTTCAGTGTGATCAAAACAGAAAAACAATCAATTTACGCTATATACCTCATATTGTAGGTGAACAGAAGTGCATTTCTTTTTTTTTTGTGAAGAATTTAGGAGAAGGAAATTGAGATTAGAAATAAGATTTGGAAACTTGGCTTCACAGAGACCATGAAATAATTCAAATGTTACATCAAGTATATTTTCTTATTTAATTTTAATTTTCCTATGGAATTTAGAATCGAGGTCAGAGGCTGAACGAGGGAGCACACATCAACAGATCGCTGCTAGCATTGGCAAATTGCATCAATGCCTTGGCAAAAGGCGACGCCAAATATGTCAACTTCAGGGACTCGAAATTGACAAGGCTGTTGAAAGACGCCCTGTCGGGGAATTGCAAAACTGTCATGATTGCGCACATAGCGCCATCTGCTGTCCAGCGAGAAGAATCCTTCAACACCCTGGTTTATGCTGACAGAGCCAAAAATATCAGCAACAAGGTTAGAAGTCATATGTATAATGTTTGCTGCCAAAATTGCAGCTGTTTTCCCCTTTCTTTTTTTTTGCAACTGGTAGCTTGTGATCAAATCATGTTCAATTTCATTCACACCCAAGACCTTATCCTTTATAATTATATTTTCAGTATATAATATGCAGTGAGACTCCCCACATGTGGACACCTCAACATAAAGACAATTTGACATAGCAACATTTATTTTTCAATAAAAAATGCCTTCATGTGGACACTGACTGGACATGCAGACATTGCTTGATGAAATTGCCGATAAATTTCATGAAAATTAACTTTTATTAGGTTTGATTGCAAGAAACAGATATTTCCAACCCTAAAATCCATGCAAGAAAAGTTCGTTGGTATTTCTCATATCATTTGCCCATCCATTCAGCCAATTTAAATAAAAATTAACTATAGTATTAAGGGACTTCCATCTCTCTTTGTGACTTGAACGTTATTTTTACAAATGAAAACATTTCAATTTACTGTACAGAGGTACACTATTCAATGTTCCAAATGTTCTTATTGAGTTGAAAAGATATTCACTGAATCAAATTCATGTGAAAAACATTTCTTCATGGAATTCTGAAGAATATTTCTTCCATAAAACACTAATAAAAAGTATATGATTTAAGTAAATGGGAATATGAGACTCAACTTATGGACACTTCAACTTAGGGACACTCTCGATGCACCAATTATGTCCACATCTGGGGGTCTCACTGTATTGCATACAGTACCACAGTTTTCTAAATCACTGGTCCTCATTTCCCCAAAAAAACAGGATGAAAATGTGAGACTATAGAATCCATAAATTCTTAGAATTGCCGGAAATGATATGAAAAAAATAATGAAAAAATAAAATAGCTGTTGTCTGATGATTTCATTTCTTGTATTCTGGAACCTTTTACACATTTTACTAGGATGAATAATTTGAAGCGCAACGGAGTTTGTTATAAGGGGATTTCAACTGTACTAAAAATTATACATAAATGGAGAAACGGAAACGGGGAGAAATACTTTTTAGCAATAACAATTTTATTCAAACAATATCAGTGGATTAAAATCGAGATTGAAGCGTATATTTCATCTTATCCGAAGTGAAGATTCACATTATATATATGTATTATCAACTTTCACCAATTTCCTCTGAATTCAATTAATGCCGCTGGCGAAAAAACCCCGCGATTAAAACGTATTATTTTCTTACAGTTGAAGAAGAATGTGGTTGACGTGAAATATCATGTGACTCAGTACCAGGAAATCATCAACGATCTCAAGGGAGAAATACAAAGGTGTGTTGAAGCTTTCCAAGGACGAATCGTCCTTCTACGAATTTTTTTTTCACCTCTTACAAGGAAGCACACCGATGTCTGTTTTCTTCTACCAATACTTTTATATGAATTCTGCTCATTGTTTCTGGTTTTGTTTCATGTGCTCCCGTTTTCCTCATTTATGTGGTTTTTTAAGGATTACAATGCTGGTCATGTGAAACCACCTTTTAAGAAATTTCAGGTTTTGATCCAAGCATATCTTCAAGCAACCTAATCTGATTTTTAAAAAAAAAATATATAGGCCAATAGGAGGTATATTTCGAAATGTTTTCGATGTAAAAATTCATAAACTGAACATCAATATGTTTTGGGTGCAGTTTTGATAAAATCTAGCAGCAGATTGTTTGGAAGAAAACTAATACTGTACAGTCAAGCCCCATTAAACTGCCCTCCAATAAACCACCACTATTTTGTCCATTCATACAGTTGGACCCACATTTGTGCAGCCTGATTTTGGCGGTTTAACAGGGGTGGCAAGCACCTTCCCCCTAAATTGGTGGGAGAACCAAGAACAATTTCAGATNTGACAATACTTCAATAGGTTGCCAACTGCCCCCATGCCAAGGTTTTTGCCCCCCCCCCCCCCCCCACCCAAAACAGGTTTCTGTCCTTAGTTCATCCCTCCATAAACTGCCAATACTTTGGAGGAAACCCCTGGTGTTTTCCATTTGTTTCCAGGAAAGGAAGACACCAAGGTGTTGTAACCACAGATTACTAATTTGTCCAGTTATATTGGGAAGTTTCAAAAGAAAGCCCAAAGGTTTTCTTATGAAACTTTTCATTTTACTTTGAAAAATAAAAAAAAATCTGAAATTGTTCTTGGTTCTCCCACCAATTTAGGGGGAAGGTGCTTGCCACCCCTGTTAAACCGCCAAAATCAGGCTGCACAAATGTGGGTCCAACTGTATGAATGTACAAAAAATTTATCATTGGCAAGGCATCTTTAATTTCTTTTATCAAGCATTTTCTTTGCAATTGAAAAAATCTTGGACTTCTCCCTTAGCTTTGGCTCTGCTGATGAGTCCAGCGTTTTCAAAATGTTTGTATTCTCAGGTGCAAATTGTTGCAAATACAGTGAGACCCCCAGATGCGGATGTAATTGGTGCATCAAGAGTGTCCCTCAGTCAAAATGTCCCTAAGAAGAGTCTTGTTTCCCCATATATTTACACTAAATAATTTTAATTTGTGTTTTATGGAAGAAATATTCTTCAAAATTCCATGAGAAAAATTCTTTGCCGCTTGAATTTGATTCAGTGAATATCTTTTCAACTCAATAAGAACATTTGGAGCATTGAATAGTGTACCTTGGTATGGAAATTGAAATTTTGGGATCTGTAAAAATAACAATCAAGTCACAACAAGATGAGGAAGTCCCTCTATGCTATGGGAAATTTTATTTTGATTAGCTGAATGGATGTGACTTGAAAAAAATGATGGGAGAAATACCAAGTAAATTTTCTTGCATAAATCTCATGGTTGGAAGTATCTGTTTCTTGCAATTAAGCCTATTAAAAGCATTTTTTTCTTATATTCATTGGCAATTTTATAATGCAATGTCTGCATGTCCAGTCAGTGTCCATATGATGGGCCTTTTTAATGTTTTTTTCTCAAAAAAGAAATGTCCATATGTCACATTTTCCACATGTGGGGGGTCTCACTGTATATCCCAGCTTCACCCCAGAAGGGGCATGTGGAAACTTGATCAATAAAATCACAATGCCATTCCTCTACAGATGGCAAGAGAAAAAAAGAAATGCCAATTTTTTTCTGGTAATATGTTGTCATGAAAATTAACAATTTCAGATTGAAGACGAAAATAGACGACGATGGGGATGAATTGGTTGGAAAAAAAGGAAGCAAATCCAATCCCTTGGGAGGACCACAAAGGAAACTCAGTCCAGAAGAAGAAGCCAGGCGCAAGGCAGAACAAGAGGCTCTTGCTAGGCTCAAAGCTTTGCAAGATGACCTGGTTCAAACCTTCAAAAAGCAAATGGATCTCAAGTTGGTATAATGAAGATTAAATTGATGAGCACGGACGTTTTTTTTTCCTTAACCAGAATTACTATGAATTATAATAAATGTTCTCAAATGTTTTTGTGGTTTGATCAGAGCTAGGAGATTCCCACATGTAATTCAGAAACTGAAATTTCACATCTTGTATCTGGTGTTCAAAATATTTATATTCATCAGTTGGTCATTTCCCACAATTTCAAAAAGACATTTTAAAATGTAATCTCATTTGTTAAACCTAACTTTCACTATTTTAATCATTCTTTGATCATCCCAGTGTTTAAAAATGCAAAAGAGCAACTTTATGCTGCATAGCTGATGCTCTTGCTTCTAATTTTTTTGGTTACTCATGCCAGAATTCAAGTAAAAACTAAAGAAGCCAGTTGAAACTCTCTAAGTTGAATTTCTAGGGACTAGGAAAAAAAGTTAACTTAGGCAGGTTCTAATTTTTTAGATTTTAAGTAAAGGGAACAAACATTTCTGCTGTGAGGAAAAGTTAAAAAAAAACTTATGGGACATTTTAGATGAAAATATTCTTGTCCTAAACTTGCTTCTCAAGGAGTTTACAGCTTGATGAACTTGGATGCAGGGATTTATTTGTTCAATTAGTCTTTCCCTTCATTTCAAGATGCATAACATCATTTGTTTCATTGATTTTCTCCTTTCATATTTCACAGAAATAATAACAGAAAGGCCTCAAAAATTTAACATACAGAGGTTTGAGAGAAAAATACTTTGAGTTAGGGAGGTTTTTAATGCATTTCTTCTAAGGGAATCCAGACAGGGACTTGAAAAAATTTGAGTTATGGAGGTACAGTGAGAACCCAAGATGCGGACATAATTGGTGCATCAAGAGTGTCCCCAAGTCAAAATGTCCCTAAGTTGAGTCTGGTTTTCCCATAGACTTACATTAAATAAATTTTAATGGGTGTTTTATGGAAGAAATATTCTTCAGAATTCCCTGAAAAAAAATTGTTTGCAACTGGAATTTGAATTAGTGAATACATTTTCAACACAATAAGAACATTCGGAGCATTGAATAGTGCATCTCTGTACTGTACACTGAAATTTTGGCATCTACAAAAATAACATTCAAGTTAAAAAAAAAAAAAGTAGAAGTCCCTCTATGTTGGCAATAATTTTTTAATTACCTAAATGGATGGTAATTTGGTGAGAGAAATGCCAAAGCACTTTTCTTCCATCAATTTTAGGGTTGGAAATATCTGTTTCTTGTAATTTGACCTGAAATGTATTTGCAAATTTATAACAAAATTTCCCTATGTTGAGTCAGTGTCCTCAGGTTAGGCCTTATTTATTGATTTTTTCTGGGAAAATAAGTGTCCCTATGTCAAATTGTCTGCAGGTCAAGGCATCCGCATGTGGGGGTCTCACTGAATTTGACTTAGGGAAGCTTGACTTAGCAAGGTTCAACTGCAATTGATTTTGTATTAAAAAAGAAACGCGTTTTAGAGTATAGCCAAGGTGATCTCTTCTCAAGACAATACTGTACTGCTCACAAAAAAAAACATTTCACAACAAAATTTCGTTTTTATCTTATGCTTTGTATGAATGAGGACTAGGAGTTGTTGATTGTTATTTTGCTTGCGAATCCCGCCAGACACGAATTGTTGGACGTGGAGAACAGTATGTTGGCTCTGGCCATGGAATACGAGCGACAAGAACTGGTTGTCAAAGAATACGAAGCTGATCTAGCACTTCGAGGCAGAAAACCGAAAAATTTATTGGCAAAACTGGACAAACTTCGAGAAAACTGCGGACAGAATTCCCCGGCCCCGGATGATCTCATGGATGGTGATAATTTTGCAAACTTTCAATCTCACAATCCCTGGGAATAAATAGAGTCAATCCCTGTCTAACAAACCTAGATTGTTCAATGCTGGAAAAGTCTGCTAGACAAAAAGTCCTTTAGACAAATTCAATTGTAGAAAAAATTAAAGCTTTTAATTCTCAACACTAATTTTAAACCAACAAAAGTCTGTTTGGCTGATTTTGTCTGTTGGGTGGGAGGAAAAACTGCCTGCAGAGCTGCTCTTTTTGGCAAAAATCCCTTACAAGAGAGGTCTGTTAGGCGGGGGCCACTGTACAGCAAAAAAATTAAGTAGATTCTCACAACTACAAAATTAATATCTTGTTATCCTTTAGGTGTCAGAAATAAATCAAAATAATTACAAATGCATTGAACGTCTTCTTTGCAAAGATAATTCTGAAATTCTGTCAGGACAACAAAAATTGAGAATTGATTCTTTCTTTTGGCTGGGGTGATGAGAAATAAGACACTTATCTTTTCATATAAGAATGGGTTTTATATTTTGTGTTCAACTATCTGAATCAAAGACAAGCAGACCTGCAATAAATGAGGAAGATGTGTTCAGATACTCCTTGATAGATTCCAAATTCAGTACCCAAAAGTAAAAGGTACATGACCATGCATAACATAAATGGAACCAGGCCAGTCAAAAGGTCAACAACTGGTGACCAGATATTGTTGAGCAACTTGGTTGCTATCCATGTGAAAGTATGTTGAAGTAATGCACAACCTTTTTTAGAATATTCTAAACATGTGATAGGACATTTCAGAATTATGGATGACCATCTCATGTGATTCTGCAACAACTGGCACATTGCCCACAAGTACAAGATTACCTGTGGTCCTTCACCATTTAAATAACTTTAATCATACAATTTGTTCAAAGTTCTCCACATAATTTGTATCTTGATGAAAAGTTGCACCTTGGCACCCCCTCTTCCACGCATTAATTTCTGTAATGCATCAATGAAGTTTTCCAAACTAAAATTTGTCCAATGCCTGGGTCTGGCTGGGCACCCCTAGCTTGTATAGGAAAAAGAGAAATCTGGTCAAATAAAAATAATCATAAGAAAATTTGCATGAATAAAGGGCAGTAACAAAGTTTTGCTGAAACATTCTGCAAAAAATAAATTTCTTATCACTGCCATCACAAATGCTTCAAATTGTGGACAGTATTTTCATTAACATTTTTTGGAAAACGTTAAGATTTACCACCTGTTTTAGCTCATGCATGTAAATGTTCAATTCCATTATTTGAACTGTCAAAGACATTTTGACAGTTGAATACAGAAGCTTTGTTGACCAACAGCTGTGTCATTGTAAACATTGCAGATTTTCCATCAAGTTCTTGTGTCAATATATGAATTCATTACATTTACACTGCTATATGTATATAGCGATTTTTTTTTCTAGTTATCCTTTTTGAGACTTCAGGTATTTTTATTGTACCTAGATTACGTTGCAAGGGTAATTTTTGTAATTGACGGACTTTTATTCCATTTATTTTGGATTTTAGAACCAGACACGGACGAAGATGATGATCCTGAGGACGTGGCTCAAGCCATGGATGAGCTCACTTTTATCATTCGGGAACAAACCCGTTATGACGACATGAAAGCCGACATTGAGAAACAGCTGGACGAATGTCGGCACAAGGCCAAAGTTTTAGAAGAGGTACAAAAATGAGCAAAGTTAAAATTTTCATAATATCCGGGGAATTCCGCCGTTTTCTCTGGCATTCGAAGGAAATTTCTGAATCATATCACGCTACTTTAGCTCGATTATTTTTCAGATTAAAAAAAATTTATCTTCTCATCTGGCCCAATTTTGCCTCTAGATTCGTTTGCTTTGCATCATCATCTTTTTTGGAGAAAATGAATGAACATTTTGGGATTTCCATGCGGATATTTTTTTGTCAACTATCTTCGTCAGTCAGACGTCAATTTAATGATGAAAGATTTTTCAGTTGTACAATTAACGTATGGGGCATCTTGCTTGTTTTCTTTCCAGGAATTACCGCAGCAAATAAACACCCAGGAGCAACGAGAAGTGTACATGTTGTTGCTGAGGGTGCATGAGTTGGAAATCGAAAGAACTGAGCTGCAGAGAGACGCTTTATTGAGAGAACATCAGCTGAGAAGACGGGATTTGTTGCTGGTGAGACACGAGATGCAGCGGAATTTGTGCGACCAAATCATCACTCGCCAACGACAATTGATCAGCGGTGAGTTTGACTGAGCTGCATCAAATATGTCTTGTGTGGCAAATATGAGGGCCATCAGACAGTGGTGCCAAATTCAGATGAGAGCTGGGACAATTGAGCGCCAGGGATGATGACTGAGATCCGCCCGAAAGTGAAAATAATCCCTGATGTTCATATTTCCATCCATCCAATCATTAAAAATATAGACACTACATTACATGTACAGTTCCAATTAAGTTGCAATTGTCACAAATTTCTGTGAGTTCCCCCTAAAAACAGAGTCATGCGCAGCAAATTTAATCTCTCATTTTGAACTAAAGAGCAAGTCATTTCTCATGTCAGCTTCTCAAGGAAATTAATCCTCAAAGGAAAAGTCCAAAATGGTGACTTAAAAGAACAGAGCCATAAAAAGGACAAGTTTTGACAATTGCCAAAACTTGTCCTGGGTTGTTTCTTTGAGAATCAAGTTTCACCCCCACTCTCACAACAAACTTAAATGGACCTTTGGTCCTTGAATTTTGCAAATCTCTGAAACTCTAGAATAAGAAATAGTACCCCAACCTAAAAAGCAGAAACTGCAATCTAAGCAAAAATCTCAGTGGAAATGTCCACAAAGTAACCCTTTTTTCCTATTTCCAAAGTACATGCAAAAACGTCACTATCTTCCAAACCTTTGAACCAAGCAGATCTTGGGAACTTGGCAAATTTTCGAAATCATCAACCATTTGCAAATCAAAGAAAATATACCATCTTAGAATAGGGTGTCTCCAAGCACTCCAGTTGCAGCCCAACCAAATTTGTTGTACATTTTATTTCCTAACTGCAACTTACCTTCAAATCTCCACAACAAAAAGGATTGCCTATTCAACAAATTTTCTGCTTCAAAAATTTAGTTTCAGAACCCACATAGAAAAAAATCATGAGTTGATGTCTCAATATATTGGTGCAGATTAAATTCTACTGTTTCAAATTGTTGATGGTCTTGAAATTTGATTTGCCTCTTGAAATAATTCCATCAATATTCAACTTGAGGTCAGAGATTCAAATAATTTTCTGCAAACTTTTAAAGAGTACAAAGAATACTCCAAATACGGTTTTGTATATCAAGCGCTTTATTCAATCTTTCACCAAATGGAGAATGTGTATTGCTGAGCAGAGCAACAGCAACCTGAGTGAGGAGCTAATCTTTGTTTGACCCTACAACTGGTGCACACTGGGGGTCACAACTGATGTACATGTGCTATTCTGGGGTTACAAGCATGCACCTATGTAGATGAAATTTTGCTACCATTCCAGGGCTACATTTGGTGCACAAATGTGACATAACAGGAGTATCACACAAATGACCCAACTGTGACCTTAATGTAACTTATTTCTTTACAAATGTGACCCTGAGTAACCCTAGCGTGAAAACACAATTGGTGCACATTAGGGTTATACATGTGGAAGTGAAGAACTTGGGTGTGCAGGTGAAATTTGCTGCAGTTGAACTTGCCGCACTTCAACTTGCCACATCCTAACTTGCTGCTGCTGCATCTGACCTCAGCCTGAAGTGACCGCAGTCACAAGTTGCCACTGTAACAAGTTACCGCAATCATTTCTCACTGCAGTCACAACTTGCAGTAGTTATAAGTTGCCACTCTTTCAACATGCTGTACTTGAAGATTAATTCAGACAGTCCTAAAACTTTTTAAAACTTAATTCACAGCAGAACATGTTTTCAATTGAAAAAAATGTACAATACAATAATATGGAAAAAAACCTCACCATCAAAAATAAAATGCACATCATTTCGCCACCAATAGTACTAGTTCAGGATGAAGGAATTCATTGAACCCCCTCTATATATTCTAAAAAATGTCAAACAGCAGAATGCCTAGTTAAGAAGTGGAAGAATGTGGTAATTCCTTTTTCCTGAAATTTTAGACAATGAAATGGCAAGTGGCTGCAATTCATTTGGAAAATTGTGATAGCAGCAAGTCATTCCAGTGGTGAGTTGATGCAGTGGCAACTTCCACCTGTGGGGACTTATCACAGTGGCAAGTTAATGCTGCAGCAGGTTGTGACAGCGGCAAGTTAACACTGCGGCAAGTTGTGGCAGCGGCAAGTTCAACTGCTTGCAGCAGGTTGGGTGTGCAGCAAGTTAGAAAGCTGCAAGTTTCACCAACACATAGAATTACAGATATATCCCCAGTGTTCACCAGTTTCCCCACTTGGGCAGGTTTTGTGGCAAAGTCTGGTTACTGTCTGCTCTCTTCAACATGAAATAGACATGTATTTATAGACTTGAGGAATCAAGGTCAGCATCAGGCATACAGCAACCAACTATAGGATTGGTGTCAACATACCTTGTTGTGCAGCAAACAAACAAAGAAAGAATGATTTAGAAAGGAATTTCTGGATAACAGAGAAATGCTGTAAGATGTTGTTGAGCAGTGAATGTAAAAATGCAGAACAGAACATGAGCTAACTAGGGAACACTCCAAAGTGCTGTTTATATTGTAGTTGCAATTTATTTGGCTACAGATTAATTAAGCTTTTGATCTGAGAAATTCTCCAAGTATTTAAAACAGCATCTCAATGCAATGGATTTCTGAGTATAAGAATTTATATTCATACTCGCCTAAAATGTATTTTTAATGGAAATCATGAAGTGTAAGGTTTTTGATAGTTTTTCAAAAAATATTGAACAAATTGAACAGCAGTTGAAGCATCGCAAATTGGAAAAATCGAAATAAATCTTAAACTATCCCTTTCAAGTGAAATGACAGTTTTAGATTAAGAAATTCATTCCTACCTTTCAATTCAAACCATCGCACTTATTCTTGTGATCGGAATATGGCACTATTTGGTAACCCTGAACATCCTGTGCCAGAATTCTCCATGATGAAGTTGAGAATTTTGGCCGCTTCAAGACTTTAGGAAATTCCGTAGAAATTTTTGGGTGCTGGAATGACGAAATTTTCAGAGTTCGACAATAGCTTTTTTTTACACAGTCGCTGACAATTCTACAATGTCTAAATGTACCGAGAAGTTCAGTTGTACTACGCCGAGTTTTCCCGGCGCTCAATTGCAACACCACGAAATTTAATCACCGGCACGGAAAAGTGTTTCTGTACTTTCTTGAAGCTGTTGATCATCTTTTACTTTACTTGTCAGATAATGGAGGTGCTGTGCCGGAGGATCTGGAAAAACTTTATGAGGTGTACGTTCAGGAACTCCAATTACCGAATCGGGAACGAGAGCAAAGACTCAGTGGAGAACTGAATCTCTTCAGGGTATAATATTCCTTCTTCTCTATAAAGAAAGCTAAAAAAAAATGTATCCCCACCTGTGAACATGAACCCATATTTCAAATATATTGTATAATAATTTTTATTGACAAAATGTGAATTTTGCTGAAGGAATGGTTTTGCACATCGAAATTGCATAAAGTTATCGCTTGGAAAATTTTTAAAATCTTGTCAAGACTAGGCAAACATTGTGAAAGAAGATTTTAAAATACAGTTGAACCTCAATGACTTGAACCTCCCTAAGTCAAATTTTTCAAAGTCCCTGTTGAATTCCCTTATATTAGGAACAGTGTATTAAAAACCTCCCCAACTCAAAGCTTTTTCTTCTCAAACCTTCCTGACTCAAATTTTTCAGAGGCCTTTTGGCTATACTTTTTCTTGACAAAAGAAATGAAGAAGCAATAAAAGCCATAATTTCATGTGTTTTGAAAGGAAAGGAATTAATAAATTGGGGAAATTTAGTCCTTGCCTCCAAGTTCAGCATCTTTTCAGCTCATTTCAGATGCATTTAATGCCCAGAATATCGTCATTTACAATTTTCTGACATTCTTCTATGTTTACTATGACAAAAATGTTTGGTTCTGTTACTCAAACCTCAATCATTCACAACTTTCCCAAGTCAAATTTTTTGTAGTCCCTTGAAATTCAACTTAGAGAGGTTCAACTGTACCTTTGTAATGCATCTGGGAAATATTGATCAATTGCTGAAATTTTTGATCTTGTATTTTTAAATTTTTGTGGGAAAAGGTAAGAGTTGCATGTTTGTAAGAATTACGGCTCTTCCATGTAACATACACCCATTTTCAAGGATGAAGTAGAACATTTTGGTTCTGTTTGAAAATATGAAGTTTTTTTTTGTGTGTGCATGAAAATCCTCATTTCCTTCTTGGTAGATACATAACCCAATTATTTATTTATGCAAGGTCCAAATTTATGAATGAAAGAATAAACAGAAAGCTTTATTTTCAACTTTTTCAGCATGCACAAGGTTCAATCAACATTCCCACATCCAAACCCCCTTCCCCACCCAACCTGAATTCATTCAAATGCATTCAATCATTTCAGAATGGGAAACAGAGAAATAAGCTGCATATGGATACTAAAGTAAAATAAAATGCATTCCACAATGTACCACTGCACAAGTGATGTGTATATATGCCTGCACCATAAATTTATCAATTCATTCTTCTTCAGTATGATGGTTCTGGGCCTGCAACCAGGGTGACTTCGTCAAAATCAAGAGGATCTTCAGATGGAAAACTGCCAAGTTTACAAAAGTGAGACTTCCAACATTATATCTATGTGCATGCAGATTATAGTTGAATGCAACTTTTTTTTGATTTTGAATTCTTAAATCATGCGCATTTTTTCTCAACAGTCAACAAAACACGCTCTTCATCAAACGACAAGCGCTGATGACTGCAAATCGGCGGCCAAACAGCAACATGTCCATCAAAAGCTTTTTGAGGTCAGATACATAAATTTTCAATTCAATTCACAGTGTGTCGAGAATATTTCAATGACCATATTAAATTTGATATGCTAGCTTTGGAGAACCTGAATTCCCCTGCAAATTTTGTCTTTCATTATATCTGTGTGGGAATCTTGGAAGACCTTGGTTCCCACAGATGTTCTGCAGCCTCCAAGGCTGGATTTTATTACCAAGATCCTATTGCCATTTTTTTTCCTTGAAGGACTGTTTTCCTTGATTTCCAAACTTGACTATGTTATTACAGTCCGAATTGAACCTTTGTGTGAGAACATACTCCAAGATTTTGAAAATTTCTGTTGTGTTTGAATTACACCAACTTTAAAATAGGGTGTTTTGCACCCTGGTCGTAGCCCAACCGAATCTCTGTGTTTTATTCATCCAACTTCTTTTCTAAACTTCTCAATTTTACTCAAACCTTTCATTTGTTGGGATTTATTCCCAACAAAAATTGGTAGAGCATGGTTTTCACGTCTCCTTTTTCTTGAAAAAAACTTTTCAAAGAAATTTCTTTACCCTCCAAATCTAACTCTAAAGGTATAAGATCAAGTGAATATGTATACATACATATTTTACCCTTTCCATTGTCCTTCTAAAAAGTGAAAAGTGTACATTCAAAATCTTTTTTCCAAAGTGCAAAGTGTGAAAAAGGAAATTCAGCAGCGTACATCCAATCCCTTCAAGTATCCAAACGCGTGTATATTCAAATCCCTCAAATTAATTCTGCAGTGTATATTAAATCCTTCCAAATATCTGAGTAAGTGTATATTCGTATCCCTTGAATTTTTTCCCAGCAATACCCAATCCCGTAAAACTCCCAACAAGTGCATATTTGAATTCATTAAGTGTACAATCTCAAATTTCTAGAAAACCCTTTTTACACTCAAACCTTTGAGGCACCTAAATTGTCAAAGAAAGTTGGTGGAGGATCTGCCTTAACAACCTTCTCCTGTCATTAAAAAAACAACTTTCAATGGCAAGGGGAAGACCTAGAGGGTTGAGAACCCCTAGAAATCCTACGATAAGAAGTATTTCAAGACCTCAACGGTCAAATACTTTAAATCAATTGCAAACCACTCCTATACATAGATCTTCTACTAACAGACTTATAACTCCTAAAGGAGCTCTAATTGCTAAATTAATTGTTGTTTCTAGAGCAGTATATGAGGGAGATATTACTCATTTTTAAAAGGACTCTGAAAGTCAAATCAAAAATTTTAATGAAACTCTTAACATCTTTGTTGAATTTCTGTCCATTATAGAATCTTCAAATCTTGAATTTCTTACTCAAGAAGAAACTGAATCAGTAAATCTTCTTGAAGCTGAACTTCAAAACATCTTATACTCCCACCTCAAAAACTTAATTAAAACTGGTCAACTCTTCATCCTACTCAAAAACAAGTTCTTTCTATTGAATTTCCAGATCCTCCCAAAATGGTAACCAACAATATCAACCCTGAAGAATCTATACAAACAATCCCTCAAAGGGAAAATAGTGTCTCAGCCAAAGCAGGATTAATGATCACTTGCATTAACAAGAGTACTGATACTTCTGGCTCCACTCACAAAACATCCTCTTTGGATCACAATGTTGAAAACCAAAGTATTGAACCATCACCTATCACTAAAAACCAAGATTCTCTTAACAAACTGTTTCCTCTCGACAAAAATTAGATCAAAAGTCAAGTTAAGAGATACAGACAAGGAAAATCAATTTGTGTCAATACCAATGCGGAAGGATTCATACCAAATTATACTCAAAAGGTCATGAAAAATTTTTGAACTTTCAAAATGAATTCCAAAATAGACAACAACTTTGACAGGGTCTGGAATAAATTTAAGAAAATGCATGAGGCTCCTACTGAGGAATTTTCTCTGTCAGAAAGATGAGATCTTCTGCTTCTCCATTTCAAAGACAAAATCTTAACAGTAATCAAAGGAATTCACCAAAAAGAAGGCAAGAATGATTATCTTGACTTTGTTAGAATGTTGTTCACTAAGTTTGGAAATGTAAACCAAATCACTCAAAAAATTTACAATAACATTGAGGAATTAAGTCCCGTAAACGACTCAAAGCAAGCAATAGCTCAATATATGAGCAAAATTGTTAATTACGTGGCTAAACTCACAGTCATCAAGCAAAATATATTTCACATGCACTACTGTATATGGCCCAGCGTACACTATATGAACTTGATCAAGGAAACTTTTATGAAATCCTCAAAGGACAAATCACTCCTTCTCTTCAATCCGAATGGGAAGCAGATCCCAAAAAAATTTACCGCTGGTATTGGAAAGAGTTAAACACAGCAGCTCTTAAAAAACCAAAGGACAAATTAGTTACAATCTACAAAACCTCCATCAATTCAAAGCAAGCTCAAAAATACAACAAAGCTGCAGAAACAAAATCTACTGAAAACAACTCATTCAAAACTGACCATGGAAGTATTCACTGTGCAAAATCAAAAACAGAGACAAACACATCAACACTTATCACAACCAAAACAAGAAGTACTGACAAACAATGTCAAACCAGAAAACAATATTTAAAACACTATCACTCAAAGTCCATATCTTCCCAGTCCTCAGCAAACAAACACTTATCAGCAAAATCAAAACTACAATCAAAATCAAAATTATAATCAAAATCAAAGTTACAGTCAGAATCAAGGTTACAATCAAGGTTGAAACTACAACCAAACTCAAAACTTTTGCCAAAACCAAAATTTCACTCAAAATTGTAGCTTTAATCAGAGACAAAATTTTAATCAAAACCCACAACGAAAAAATTTTTGTCAAGAAGACAACAACGTTGTTATGAGAAAGTTTCCCCCTCCTAGTTGCCATTATTGCGGAGAAGGTCATACCCCCATTCAATGTCCTAAATCCTTGGAGGAAAAGAAAAGAATTATCACTGAAAGAAAGCTTTGTTGGAACTGTCTCAGAAGCGGGCACAGGAGCTACTTTTGTAGAAGCAAATTCCGATGCTTTCATTGCAACAAAGACCATCACTCATCAACTTTTAAATTCTTTAAACCAGTAAACCCAGGTCAAGTTCCACCCCCTTCAATGTATGTTCCAAACCCAAACTTTCCAGTTAGCAGTGACCTCAATGAAATATTTACCAAATTGGTAATAGAAAAGGTCAATGAAATTAAATCTGCTCCTAAGGAGAACATTCAAACTACAAAATCTGGAAATTTGACAGCCTCTTCCTCATCATCCTGACTAAAGACTGAACAACACATCCAAATTAACTTAACCAGAGGAAACTACCCAAATTCCTTTGTGGAAATGGCAGAGTTTCTAGAAGTCAAATCTCATGAACCCATACTTGCTTTTTTAGATTCAGGAGCACAAATTAATCTAATCACTTCAGTTGCTGTCAGCAGACTAAATCTCATTGAAGAAAAACATCCTTCTGGATACAGAATATCAGGGGTTAACAAATACGATAGAGATATAAGATCTCAGATCTTTTCAACCTTTACCATTCAAGCTGTCAACAATCATAATTTCTTCTACACCATTAATGCCTTAATAGTTCCACTAGAAAGACCTTGGGAAGGCAGTAATCATCAAACTTTATCCTGGATGAAAGATTATGGACACCTTCTTGCCAACAAAGGTACAGTTAATTCTACTGATGTCCCTTTTAATTTAATTATTGGCGGAAAGGATTTAATTTCCATATTTTTCACTGGAGTTCAGCCATACGTTTCTCCAATGCACTTTCAACTTTTATCCACCAATGCTGGTCTCATTCCTAGACAAAACTGGAATCCAGATACTAAACTTGTATACCCTTCAGATAGATCTCTTGTCTTTGCAGTAAGAGCCTGTGAAAGCAAACCTCTTGATATCAAACTTAATGAAGAAATCACTTGATACCTAAGATTGGACAGATTTGAAATCTTTGGAAAGCAAGAGGAAGAATTTAAAAATTCCAATGAGGAAGAACTTTCCAAATATTTGAGCAGAGTTACTCAATCAGAAACAGGTAGAGTAGTAGCTCCCCTTCTAAAAAACTCTAACTTCTATGACTGCTGGTCACCAAATCTACAGGGGAACAACAGATAAACTCAGTAATCAAGCTATTAGACAGGGGGGGGAATAATGGCTGAAGAGTATGAAAAATTTATCAAGGACTGGGAAGATACTGGAGTAATCACAAAAACCACTTTAGATGAACTTAAAACTAGAGGAACACCATTCACTGAACTCTCTCACCATGGTGTAGAGAGACCAGCAAGTGCCAGTACTCCACTTAGATTTGTAATTGCTGGTAATACTGCAGATTGAGGAAAATGTTCAACAAATGATATACTAGATCCTGGGCCAAATATTCTACCAAGATTAATCAACATCCTAATCAGACTCAAATTTGCTGAACCCTTCTTGGTCTCTGACATATCTAAAGCTTTTGTGCAAGTTCAACTAGCTGAAGAAGACCAGTGGTTTCTGATTATTCAATGGCCAATTAGGCAACCTGATGGATCCTTTCACTATGAATTCTATAGATTTCTATGACTTCCATGGGGGATAAATTGCGCCCCTTTTCTGCTAAATGCCACTATTTGGTATCTCTACTGACAAGCCAAAATCAAAGGGAAAATATTAGCTGAATTTAAAACTGAACTTGAAGAAAACACCTACGTTGATGAAATTCTGATTACTGGAAAAAACCTTGAAGATGTTAAAACTAAACAAGACGTAACTACTGATCTACTGAAAGATGGAAGTTTTATTCTCACAAAAGTAAGAACATTTGAGGAAAACAAAGAGCAAAACAAATTCAAAATTCTTGGTTAAATGTACCATACTGATTCAGACTCCATCTCTACTTGCACTGAAAACATTTTCATTCTTGCTCAAATGAGACAATTATCAAAACAAGTTGCAGCAGGAATCATTGCCAGACTTTACAATCCTCCAGGACTCATGGCTCCATTCACTGCAAAACTAAAACTAACTTTTCA